TGTGGGAAAAATGGTTTCAGTTTATTTTTACAAGATTTTTTTAACAGTATTTTGTCAAAAATAATCAGATATTTTCAGTGGGATTAAACTAGAATGTCTGCTAGTAACTTATGACAATGAATTACCTTTGGTACAGCAGAAAGTTTGGGTTTTGTAATGAGGTTTTAAGGTACCAGTATTAACCTTGATGCTGTCCCACAGTACTCGCTGCCCCTTCAGCTGATCAACCACACTGTGATGACGCAGTGGATGGAAATTCTGCGATCCATTGTGGACAGAGACGTACCTGCAGTAAGACAAAGAAAGAAGTTTAAGCTATCTCTTTAAATTGTAAATTATACAATAATTTATATTGGTCCTACTTGACAAAATCACAGTAAATCTTCTGAATAATTGGTTGCAGTTGCAATGGAACACTCATTGAGTAGTTCAATGAGTGTGAATAAGGCACTGCAGAAGTTTAAAATTAGTTTTACCATGAAAACCATGTTGTATTAAAGTAAGAACTCAAATGTCTATTTTCATGTCAGTCACATGTACAAAACTCTGAAGCAATTTGTTTTGTTAATGGTGTTTTTTTTGTAACAGTACAACAAGACATTTGATCACGATTCTCTTACAAGAATAATCTTACACACAAACAGTCTTCATTCTTTTTTGTTAGCTATAGCAGCACAAACTCGTGCAATGAAGAGTTTTTAGGTCTTCCATCTTGAACTGAGTGGATTGTGTTTGTTAGGAGACTTTGGAAGTTGATGAGGATGATCGTCCAGAGCTGGCTTGGTGGAAGTGCAAGAAGTGGACGTTGCGCATCATCACTAGACTGTTTGAGCGGTAAATTTCAGAGCTAAAAAGCAGAGTTAGAGTTTACACAAAGTATGAAGAATCTGTCATCCTCATTTGTTTGATTTTAACCACAGGTATGGAAGCCCCGGCAATGTGACCAAGGAGTACCAGGAGTTTGCAGACTTTTTTCTGAAGACCTATGCAGTAGGCATACAACAGGTTGGCTTGTGTCATTGAGATGCTGTAACACTTGATAGACCCTTGAGATATTTTGTGCCACAAGGATTTTCCATTTTCTACCATTTTTGCTGTGTTAAATAAACCATAATGGTTTTGGTTTTCTCTTATCATGCAGGTCCTGCTGAAAGTGGTCGACCAGCACCGACGGGGTCAGTATGTTACTGCTCGGGTTTTGCAACAGTGCTTCACCTACCTCAACCAGGGCCTTTCACATTCACTGACATGGAAACAGATGAAACCACATATGCAGGTACATGTACCTTACTCATAGGATGTTTCTTTAGTTACATAGTAGAATATACTTTATTGATGTAAATAAGCAACATAAATATATATTAAAAATATACATATGTGATATTGTAAATAATTTAAATATAATTAAGTACAAGATAAATAAATACAATCACAAGAATGCACATGGGAATTTATTAATCTATAAATGAGTCTAGAGAAAACTTGGATTAAAGAAACTCAGAGTTAGGCATTTTATAATATGATAGCTTCAGGCAGGAATTACTTTTTGTGGCGCTCTGCATTTTGGTGCCATCAGTCTTTGGTTGAAGGTGTTACTATGTCCGGCGTGTGGTTGCTACAGGAGCACCACTTGTAACTGAACCACTGAAAATATTTTTCAGTGGTTATTGGATAACTGTTCTTGTCAATTAGCTTACCTCATTGCACAATAAGGCAATCCAAACCAGCTCTCCATTGTCAAGGGTCCGGATTTCAAGGCCTGCGGAACCCTCAGAAACAGAAACTGCGGTGTACCCTGCCTCTCGTCAGTCAGGTCGCCAGACATGTTTCCAGTCCATCACAGGGCAACACATAGACAGACAGGACAAAAAAGCTTGATTCTTGCATAGATTATCTCTCATGCTACACTGTCACAACATAGTGACAGTTTCAAAAAATATGTAAGAAAATATTTGGTAACACTTTATTTGAAG